GTGTGGCCTAATCTTTTCCTTTTCTTTCGGGTACGTCGGGAAATGGCATTTTTTGGGGTGGGAGAGAACTTTGGGAGCGTTGGGATCCAATCCTAAGAGGGAACGAATGATGACACCGCCTAAATAACTACTACCTATAGGTTTCAAAATGATCTGCTTTTCTTGCTTGAGTGTCAAAATGAGGATCAGCCAGTTGCGTCAAGGCTACGTTCTTTCTGTCAAAAAGCGTTTGGCTTGATGTGGAATGTTAATGATGCCTTTCAACAGTCGATATGCCGTTACTATAAACTATCGTAATACTTCTTCGAGACTGCTTTCTAATACACGTGCACGTATTTGTGGATTTTATTCACGACTCGTGCCGTACAAGGCACGAATCAATTTGACGGGAAGATGAGACTGAAGGGACGTGATGTTGACACTTTGTGAGACAGAGCCAATATGACTATGATTTTTATAGATTTTTTGGGTTGCTGTTACGTCGACGTTGGGGACCTGTACAAGACAGGCACTCCCTCTTGACACCAGTGTTGAAAGAAATAGGTACGAAATAATCTGGGGGTAGTGGAGTTTTAAATCCACGAGTAAATAGGCGTGTGGGGTTTGAGTGGCATCTTTGTACTCATGAGTCAGCCAATGTGTTTCTAACTATTCTGTATAAGAGTTGCACTTGAGATTTATCACTAGGGCTTTTAAACAAGACCACGAGAATGATGGTGAGATAGGCCTTACTTTGTTGAACCAAACTGTAGGTAATGTAAATGACATTGGTATTACGATGATGCCCTTTGCGCGTAAACTAGTTTAATTTCTTCTTCGTCTTCTCTTGAAAGATGACCAGATGGGTTTGACTGGTGTCAGACACGATCCAGTCGCCTTCGCCACCATTCCTTTTTCAAACACAATGTAATCACATTGACTTTGTCGTAGAAAGCTGTATGCTGATTCCACTCTATATAACACCATTCGTTGTGGTGGATAATTGATCTAATGATGTTTATGTTAGATCAAACGTTTGATACATTCAGTTTTGCCTGAACCGCTGAGTTCAGCAATGAGTATGTTAAAGGGATGGCGAAGATACAAGGCCTCCCAGCTGGCATGATCTAATTGCTCGTTGATGACTTTTAAAGTAAGCTGGAGCAGAGACAGCAGAGGTAGCATTGGTAGTGTAAGGTGTGTCACTTTTTGCAGGAAGACAGACAAGATAAGACTTTTTTTATACTTTTCTGAAACATGTTTATTGTCATTTTTCATTGTGAACAACACGAAAGACGAATACATAAAAGCCAAATGGTTAAGCACATGAATAAAAGATAAAACAATCATAGTGGAATATTAACATGTTTTTGTACAACATTTATGTGATCAAAATGTGCGGTCCTAGGGACAGTGAATAATATTCTTAGAGTCTCTACATTCCTTGGCACAGTCACTTAAGTATTCTCTCGGAATAGCCTTTTAGGGATGTCGATGACGGTTCTGTCTTGAAGAAAATGGTTTTCTTTGGTGATATGATGTTCTTCTCCTTGTGGTAATGTCACTAGCACAGGTTTAAAAGTAACCTTTTTCACTGAACGTTTGAAATCAGAATTACAAATCTTGCACATATTGGGCCACTTCTTTAGTCTTAACCTCGAATCCCAAACTCTTCCAGTCAGGTACATCTGTCCAGTGAAGGTGGATGTCACAAGCTACATACACGTCTTCAGAACCTGTTTGTCCGTAGAAGTCGAGAAGAATTAAGATGAAGGCGCAAAGCTTTGAGCAGAATGAGTCTCTCTTGGACATTTAAAGAGATCACTTTCATGTTGTTTTTGTGATAGGTACTGTTCGCAAAGAGTCCACAAAGAATTGGCTGGGAAACGAAATTCCATAAAGCAAGTCACTAAGACACATATTACACGTCTACCCCAATTCAATTGACACTGTTCTCGTAAAAGGCAAGGGTAATCCTCCACCATATGAATAATGTCATTGATTTTCTTCCACTGAATCTGTTGTCATTAATAAAAATGTTTCTGGCATGGTAGAAAGTTTTGATACATATTTTTTCAGCAGCTATAAGTGTACGTTTTGCACAGAAGTGATCGTATTCAGAAAAAGAATTCAAAATATTTAGTCACTAACTTGCACATTAAAAGCCGTTCATAAGTTACTTCTTGAAATAAGTTTACATTGTGTCCAAGAATTAGTAACCCTCTAATTCTTCTTCTGGAATTCGATGCTGTAAGGTTTCCTGGTAGTAAAAATAATCGCTATCAAAAATGCAATCCTTCTTACCCACGAGTAGTTGATGAATGTCTGACCACTGTTACATTTTTATCAGAATCAATCCTCTTATAGCATTTAGGTACCAGTGGTTCAAACAACAGTAAGGTAACAGATAAAATCGTTCTTTGTGTTTGACATTTATTTTGACCAACTCTTGGTAAATGCGTTTTCTCAACTCTACAGGTAAGCCACGAATGTTCACTTGCAAAATATCTATGACCATGTGTCAGTCAAAACCTTCTCATGGAGCGAAAGTGACGGGTAAAGTAAGTAATTTCTGAATATTTGTTTTGTACAGGTTCATTTTGATACGGGTACGGCGAAATATGCAGGATTCTGCACAGTTTCGCATGACATCCGTAGGGTGGTAGACGCGTAGTTTAACGTGGAGGATAGCATCCACCATAAAAAAAAACTGTAAAGTGAAAGGTGTACAATAACGAGTGGCATCGTTTTCGCATCCATGAGGTTTAACACGCACAGCATCATTATCACTTTCCGCTGTAGGTATGGTAGTAGCAAATTTCCCATGATGACGTGGTACTGAATTACTGAGGTTCAGCGTACAGCATCCCTGTCATTGCAAGGTGCAGCATCGAATTCGACTTTGCTATTGATACTTGATGTGTAAAAGTATTCATCTTTATCGCTTGACGTTTGTAATTACAAATGAGCTATCGGTCTTGAACGTTGTATCCTTTTATGCTAGTCGTAATGAAGTCACGAGCCTGCCGAGTTTTAGAAGTCTTCCTTTTTGTCTTCCTGGACAACGATTCGACCTTCTCTAAAGTAGCGTCGTACTTAAACTATAGTGTAGCACGTGGAAATGCCATAGAAAGGTAAGAAGAGTGTGGAGACCATTGAGTATGTTCCAGAGTAACTGAATATTTTTTGATACATCGATCCATACGCAACTTCAGACCATAACTAAAACACTGTACATCGTATAACAATCCAGTCACAGGTCCCAAGTATACAAATCCTGCTAAATCATTCGCAGAAGATAATCCTTCTCTATCCGTGGGCCATTTTTTAAACGTTTTCAATCGACTGGCACAATTACAATGGTTAGACAAGAAGACAGAAAATGGTATGGTTTGAACTTGAAATTCTCAATAGGGCTCTCACTCGACTCTTTCTGTGTTGAAGTTATCCTTCTTTTTGGTAATTATCGTCTTAGAACCGTTTTTTATACTAGCATGTTCGTACAGTAAAATGAAGTGATCGGAAAGTCAAACTCGCTTCCTGTACACGATTTTAGAGACTTTTTCCATGGGTCGACTGACGATTTGATGTGTGGGTAAACGTACAATTATGTTTGGTTGGTAAATGGTCACTTTGAAGTTTCCATACTGTCCAGACTGCAATGCTTTTTAGTACGTCAAAGTTTACCACTTGACTGGTGCGATAATTGAGACTCAATCCTTTCACTTTACACTCCGTGTGCATTTCTCGCAGTCTTGATACTGGTAACCGCCACCAGCAAAACTTAGAGTATTGTCCTTGGGATGCTCGTCCGTCCAGGCTACTAAACGGTCTCCTTTGATTTTAGAGTGTTTTTGACCCGTTTCAAAATACAGCACACGATCTCCTAACAGTTCTAAAACATTCGTACAGTTTTAAGTAAGCATGGGCTGTCACGTAATCCACAAAGATGACCTTTCCAAATTAGTCGGCTTCTACAAAGTCCGGTTCTTCTTGGTAATTGACAAGAATCAACTCTTCCTGTATTTTCTTTTGTCGTGAATGATCTGGAAGTAGCGGAAAGGTTCTGACAAATACTCCATCTTGGGTAAACAGTCGTTGTGCATTTTTACCGCACGAACAATTTAACACCTCTTTGGCAAACGATAGCCTTCTTTCGTTTTTCTCCACGTAATCTAAAGCGATACCTTCTTACTCCCAGTGTTTCTCTTTGAATTTCTTTTGACCTTCGGGAGTGTGGTACCAGAAAGGATCGCTACTGGCTGCTTTTTTCAGTTTCTAAAAGACATTCATGCATTCTGCAAAATTGCCTTTGCCCTTGTGGTATTTTCTAGCTTGGAAAAGTGGTAAATTTCGTACACTTCTAACATTTGGTATCCCAGGTCTAGAGCTTTGAACAATTTCACACTGACCCACGTTCATATAAAGTCGCATTATTCCTGAGTGTGCTGATAAGGTCGGTCTTGGTTACACGTTTAGATACAAGTACGGCACAGGGGAAACATCAGTTTTCCTTGGCATCGGTGAGGTAACATGGGGTGGTAAAAGTTCGTGGGAGGCAAAACTTTACATTTGACCTATCCTTCATATTGTCGAATGTTATCCACATCGATATATTCCTTCAGCAATTGCGAGTGTCCAGTGGGAAAGTGTCAATATTTGCACACGCACGGACACAAAGAACACAAGTCCAAATATTAGATTTCTTCTCCTTTCTCCTCGTCGGCTTGGTACAAACTGTCTTCCGGGTTCAGAGGGTCTACCAGTTTGTGGTGTTTATGATGTGGTGTTTATGATTTTTAACGTAGCTTTAACAAATTTTCAGTCATATCGCTACGATGTCTGCAGTGTGGCAGTTTATAGTGATGTCTAGCACTGGGGCATCATGCCGCAGACATGTAACATGATGTCCCACACAGTCACATTATCCTGACACCAGGCAGACCAGCCCTAACACTAACCTCTTAATGCTGAGCGTCAAGCGAGGCAGCTGTTAGTACCATTTTTGTAAGTATTTGGTATGACTCGACCGGGGATCGAACCCACGACCTTCCGCATCCGAGGCGGACGCTCTAACCACTAGACCGTCGGAGCTGTTCTCTGCCAGTTTGTAGCGATGCGCTTAAACTTGTGATCGGTTTTCATATGGTGTTCATACTTGTGTTTTCACATTTCTACCACTTGATATCTTTGCTCTTATATCTTCAGGCGACGCTGACAAGTAAGTAGCCTGGTACAAGTCTTCCATGGTCCATTGTAAAAACTGATTTGTAGTGTCACGTTGAGTAAAATGATCGGACTTTCGTGAAATAAGCAACCGTTCAACTCACACGATCTTAGGGTTTTCTAAGTCCCAACCATCCACCGAATACCTGCAAGTAGTTTTTCCGACTCCTCCATTGTTTGCTTGTTGGATTCATTTGTCTTCCTTGTCGCACAAGTAATATAACCAACGTACGGCTTTGACGTGTGACAAAGTTGTTCGTTTGAGAACTGATGACAGCTAGGGTGTTTTTGGGCATGAATCGTTGGCGTACACGCTTTGGCAATGGTGTAGGTTTCTTTCAAAGGATCGATCCGTCCGTGTTCCATGAACAGTTCTCGAAATTTTCCAAAGCAACGCAGTAAAATATCCACGTCTGAACGACAATATTTTAACATTTCTTCTTGAAATTAGAAAGGGACTGAGGCGTGAGTGTGGTACTATGTGTAGAAAGCTTCTCCTTGTTCGGTACGCATGTGATTGGGGTCGTAGTAGTGAGTCTCAGGCAAATGGGGTAGAACAGCGTGTTGATTGGCTTTGTCCATGAAAACGTGTCAGAAGAAGCCTATGGCCATTTCTCTCATGTCAAAACATTTTTGTCATGCGACTCAAAGGCATGGCTAAGTAACTCATAAATTGTTTAAACTGTACTTGTCCCTTTTGCATGTAGATGAGTTTGGCTCGGTTCAAAAGTGACTTTAGGACGTTCCATACTTTGTTCCGTATGGTATCTAAAAAATTTCCAGAGAAATTGTGAGCCACCACCGTGGCATAGCGTTGACAATCACCGTAATATTCAATATCTTCATGGCTCAACGTCTCTTCGATAGGTCTAAGAGCCATTGGACTAAATCGGCTAGTGAGTTCAGTCCCCGAAAGATTTTTTCACGTCCTACAGTGCTTCTTCTTCTTCTTCTTCTTCTTCTTCTTCTTCTTCTTCTTCTTCTTCTTCTTCTTCTTCTTCTTCTTCTTCTTCTTCTTCTTCTTCTTCTTCTTCTTCTTCTTCTTCTTCTTCATGTTTAGAATGCTATTTTTGAATGAAGTATTGATGTTCCAAGCCCACGATTTGGTGCTATATATGTGACATCGTGTTTCCCTGAACATATATGTACTGTATAAGCACTGTTGGTACGTATACCTTGTCCACAAGTAGGGCACGGTCTCAGTTGATAAGCCCTTTTCCGCTGTGAACCTTGCGTCTTAAAATATTATTGGTAATAGGTTGGACTGACAAAAGTGCGCTGACAAACTGAGAAATGCATTCGTGGTTGTCCTTCGTCCAGACAGGGCTTAGAGGCTAATATCCCTCACATTTCGATCCACAATGCTTGTGTTGCTCTCGATTTCCATAGCCGTAGTAGCATTTCTCACATTAATATCCATATGACAGGAAAGCAGTGATAATGGTAATACCATAAAAATGTTCATCGTGAATTCTGCCTCTCTTTTTTATTGTTTTACTTGGTCAGATCGTTGAACAGTTTTCTATACTCTTTTCCATTCTGACGTGTTGTTCTTGCTTGCGTACGTTCGTCCCACCCCGATGGCACTTGCTAAATACATCTTGTCCTGAGGATTGTTAATTCGGACGAGGCTGCTCTTGATGATGCTAAGGCCGTCTACCAAGAACACTTTTTGCTATGTCCTGTCCTTTGAGGAAGAGAAACATGGGTCACGAACAGTGTTTCTTTTCTGTGGGTGATGTGAAACTTATCATTGGATTGCTGCACCTGTTGAATCTTGTCGATGATTTTGAAATGGTGTCAATTCTGATAGACTGCTATACTCGATCCAAGCGGGGGAATTCAGACTGTCGTAATAAATCGAAAGTCTCAAGCGATCGTCTTCTTTGGCTTCATATGGCTGCTTGAGATTGGTTAACAAGGAATCCCACATATCGGTGATGAACTCTTTTGCTTTCTCCAGTAGTACTTCGGACTTGAAATTTTTAAATGTTACCGTGTACGTTTATGCCGTGGTTCTAAATTTTCTAGAAGAGCGTTTTTCTGTCTCTTGAATGTGATAATAATTTTCTGGGTTTACTGGTGGTGATGGACTTTGACTGGTCTAGGCTCACAGCGTATAGCTTCTGGCTCACTTATGGCATCTTCAAAATCGCTGGCACGAAATTGAGCCAAGGCGATAAGTCACGTTTCTGCCTTTTAATTTCTTCTGTTTTCTTTACGAAAAGATGCGATCGTTTCATCTTGACTGCAAAAAGTCAAATGACTGCATGTGGAACGCCGTGGTAGCCTTTATATTCATGTCAGACCAGTGTATGTATGTATGTATGTATGTATGTATGTATGTATGTATGTATGTATGTATGTAT